CTCTCCTTTCTTTGGAGGTTTTCAAACAGAGGCGAGATGGCCATCTGACAGCAATGTTGATTCTGTGAACTTAGGCAGATCATGAGAGGGAGGGCAGGAAGGGCTGCCTCAGTGCTTAGTTCCTGTGGCCCTTTCTTACACGCCCAGGGAAATGCTGGTTGCCACTTTGGGGTCAGGAAGCAATTTTTCTCCAGGCCGGTTTGGCCAGGGATCCTGGAGGTTTTTTGTCATCTTCTGGGCGTGGAACAGTGGTCGCTGTGGGTGTGGAGGGTGAGGTATTTGTGAATTTCCTGCCTTGTGCATGGGGTTGGACTAGATGACCCTGGAGTTCCCTTCCAACTCGATGATTATATGGAATGCTGTGATTTGTTGGTTATCATTGACTAATTTTATTATTGAATTAAGTTTTATAAACTGGCTATTTTATTCAGTGTTGTAACTGCCCTGAGCTCCCAGGGGAGGTCAGGATATAAATCAAATAGATAAACAAACATTACAACACATCCTAAAAGAGCACCCATGTTCCATCTGTTGCTGGAGGAGGAGGAGGAAGAAGAAGAAGAGACTTGTGGCACCTTACAGGCTAACAGATGTATTCACAGGCAGGATGTATGAAATGGGCACTGAGGATAATCAATAAACATACACATCAAGTTTGAGGAAGGAACCTAACACAGAAAGTGAGATTAAAAAATGAACACACATGGAAAGCAGAGATATCAAATACTGGTGTATCAGTGTATGTAAACAAGTTTCAACCACAAAACCGATGCTGCTTCTCAGGCCCTGCCAGTTCATGTCTCATTATGGCCCTTCATCTTGAATGGCCAGCTACAATTGAGCCCTTGGAAACTAGTTGAGCACCAGAGTAAAGTGAGGGAGATTCTGGTGATGGTATTGACACCAAGATTATGAGTCGAGAAGCCTCAGACAATAGCAGTTACTATGGCTGGCCTACAACGTCCACTAGCAATGCTTTCTGCCATACATAGGTATGCAGCCACATTTCTCCTCACCTCTTCAGTAAACTTCAGATAATAAGAGCCAGCTTTATGCAATTCATTCAGGACGCAGCAAGAAACCAGTCATGCCTGTATGAGGTTGGTAGTTTTTCAAAAGAAAAGCCTATTGTGCCATGGAGAAGAACTGAGCAGGGCACATTTCCCACCCCACAGACATGGGCATATATCCAATGCAGGGGAAAGCATCGATTCCCTGGCTAAAGCTCTCAGTATTCTGAAATGAACTCTCAGAAGACTAAGGTTCAAGCTATGCACAGCAGGACAGCATTGAGATGATGAAGAGGAAGCCATTAATACCACATTTACCACTCAGTGTAAGTAAACAAGATTCAACCACACATGGATGGTCAACCTATGGATGTAAAAAAAATCAAACAGAAACGAAAACTTGCAGACTGAACTGAAGTGGTGTGTAGATTCTATTCCTTTGAATGTCACTAAGAGATAGTGGTTTGAATCCAAAATTGCCTCTGCATAAGCAAAGGAGGAGATGATTTCTTCAGATTCCTCCCTCCCACTACATCCCCAGCCCTGACATGGGTAGCCCAGGCTAACCAGATCTCGTCAGATCTCAGAAGCTAAACAGAATCAGTCCTGGCAGGCAATGGCTAACCACCTTTGAAATGTCTCTTGCCTTAAAAAACAAGTCTAGCTTGCCACCTAGTGGTGTGTAACACTAAAATAGCTAGAACTTCTGCCTGCCAGGCAATCTTAGGATCTCCTAACAATCTTAGGATCACACACACTACCATATGTTAATTATACTTATTACTACAGCCCCACAACAGACTGCATTCCCAAATGTTCCCCATCCCTTGGAAGCATGAGAGGAGGGCAATGCGCAGGGAGCTACAGCAGAAAGCAGGAAGTGGGAAACCAACAATGGCACTCCAATCACTGTCAGTTGGATCAAAGCAAAATGGTGGTGGTGGTGGGATTAAATGAATATTTTTGAGGGGGGGGGAGAAGTGAAATACTTTGTTCCTTTTTAGGTTCAGGGCAAGGGATCAGCAATTTCTCTAGTCCAGTGGATCAAATTAAAAATATTTGCCATCATGTACCAAAGTTATCCGTGCAACCAAAAGAGCCAAAAACTGGTTTCCTTTGCATAAGAAAGCTGGATTCTAAGGATCACCTTGGATATAGTTTTCTTGTTATTCAGAGCGTGAGCCCAGGAAATCAGGAATGACAGCAGTAAACAGAGAGATTTGGCTACACAGTAAAATAGCTGAGGACAAATTAAGTACTCTTATCAGGATAGGAGAGTCACAAAGAGAAGCCACATTCCTGCAAAACAGAAAAGATCAGCCTGGTTGATATTGGGCAGAGGCCCATGACATTTTCGCAACCTTTCTAAGCCCTGTCAAAATTTCCAGAGGGAAGCCATTGTGACAGGACTCCGGTGATGGGAACTTTTCACAAACAACCAAGGAAAAGAACAGCATATTACTAACACTGGTCTGCTCTGAATCCTCATTGCTACCTCACATCAGCACACACAGACACACCTGGAGCTTTCTATCTTGTACCTGCAAGTGAAGAGACACTACAATCCACACAAGTAAGCAAGGGACCACCTAATCGTTAAAACCAGAACAAAATAAAATCTCTTCCTCCTGTCACATTTGGAAAATTTTGTACCTGAAGAAGTGAGCCGTGACTCACGAAAGCTCATACCCTGCCACTGCTACTGTCACAAGTTCGAGTTCTACAAACCCTTCTCTGCCACTCAAGCGCAATCCTGTTCACATCCATTGCCCTCCTTCCCTTATGTCCTCCATGCTAGAAGATATTTGTACAAAATACTTGTTAAAGGGAGCTACTGGAAAAAAAAAAAGGGGGGAGCTACTGGACTCTTGCTCTTTTCTACTGCTATGGACATCTCGATCTGTCCCCTCACAAAAATGCCTGCCATTCAGACTCCCTCTAAAGCCTCGACAGACTAGCAAGCCTTGCAGCACCTCCAAAAGTTATCCAAGGAGGGGGCTCCCCTCACCAAAGAGTCCACTCCACTGAGCAGGAGCCATGATGGGAAAGGCCCAGGATCTGGCCAATGCCAGACAAGCCGCCCCCCAGTGGTGGGACAGCCAACAGATGGCTGCCCGATGGTGGTAGTTGGTGCACAGGGGACACATGGAAGGAGATGCTCCTTCAGATACATGGATCTAGGGGTGTGCAAAAAAAAAAAATCGCCCAATTCAGGTTCGGTCCAATCGGGCAGAATCAATTTCGGCGGGCAGTAAGACTCCCACATGTCAGTTTCATCGGTACCAGCCGACTGGGGAGTCTTTTGGCCAGCCGAATGTCAAGTTCAGCCCCATTATATCCTATGGGCCATTGAAGTCAGTGGCGAAAACATAGGGTATATTCTGGGGGCTGGAGGGGAGGGGGTTTGAGGGAGGGGCTCCAAACTCAGAGGGTAGCTGCTGGAGCCTCTCCCCAGGATACCCACCAAGTTTCAAAAACATTGGACCAGTGAGTCCAATTCTATGGGCCCCCAAACAATTTGCCCCCATCCCCTCCATTGTTTTCTATGGTGGGAGGAAAAGTTACTTTTTCCCACGGTGCTGTTAGTGGCTCGGGAGGGGGGGGAGTTGAGGGAGAGGCTCCGAAAACAGGAATGACATTTATGCAGGCCCCGCCCTGTGTAAATTGATGGTGCAACCAGAACTACAGGGATGTAGCAGGGCAGGCCCGGGTAGAGTTGGGTAGAGTTGACTCTCTCTCCCCCCAAGCAAGGAAGCTGGTGTGCAAAGCAACACCATCAACCTTGCAGGCTGCACATGCATGCAGCAATTGGCTGAAACTGGCCTCCCCCCGTTGATCTTTTGGGGTTTCTGTGTGGAGGCACCCCCCACGTTGGTCTTTTGCGGTTTCTGTGTGGCACTGTGGCATGCTTGCACTGCCACAGGGCCACTTGTTCTGGAGTGCGCCACTTGTTCTCATGGCAAACAAGCACCTCCCAAGACAGTTCACTTTCCCTGAGATTCTCTGGGAGACTCTGACTGCTGCCTGCTTGCCTGCCTTAAGTGCTGCTGGCTATGTTTCCCCATTGGAAACAATGGAGGTAATGGGGGTAACCTGTTTGGGTGCCCATAGAATTGGGCCCACTGGTCCACTTGCTTTGGTACATGGGGGTTTATGTGGGGATTGGCTCCCAAAGTTACCCTGAAAATTTGGAGCCTCTCCCTCAAAATCCCCCTCTCCAGAGCCACTAACAGCACCATGGGGAAAAGGTAACATTCTTTCCCACCATAGAGAACAATGGAGGGGATGGAGGCAACCTGTTTTGGGGCTCGTAGAATTGGAACCCCTGGTCCAATGTTTTTGAAACATGGTGGGTATCTTGAGGAGAGGCTCCAGCAGCTACCCCGCAAGTTTGGAGCCTCTCCCTCAAACCCCCTCCCCTCCAGCCCCCAGAATATACCCTATGTTTTCGCCACTGACTTCAATGGCCCATAGGATATAATGGGGCCAAATTGCCGCCAAATTTCGGCGGCAATTCGGCAGCAAGCCAATTCAGATCAGAGAATCTGAATCGGCTCGCAGCAGCCCGAAAGGGGCCCCAAATGGGCCATTTTCGGGGGTGCATTCAGTTCGGACGAACCAAATGCACATCCCTACATGGGTCCCAGGCTTCAAAGGTCACCTTAGATAAAAAGTTACTTGACAGCACATAGCACACATAGAAATGACTCTACAATAACAGAGCTGCACAATACAATTATATGGAAAAGTTGAAAGCAAAGCTTAGAAATATACTGGTTTCCTTTCTGTTATGAAGGTTTGCTTTACGTAAGAAACCACAGTAAATTCTCTGTTTCACTTCAGCTATAAAATGATTTCATGGCTTATTACTATGGGTTTAGACACAGAGACAGCATAAGGGTGTGTAATTCATGGTGAATATTTGGATGCTCCAATTTGAACTGGTGAAATAAAAGCTTCAACACACAAGGCCCCAATGAACTTCATTACCTGTAGGAAATGCTGCCCAGGGAATAGCAGGAGAAGTTGCCTGTGGTTCCCCGTTTCCACCTTCAAAGGTTTCTGCTGCCTAAAAATAGAAAGCATATGTTAAAATTTCAATGCATGGGCTTTCCAACTACATGCCCTAATCAGGTATGCATATTATATTCAGACATTTCTTTTACAGTGAACACCATGCTAAACTTTATTAGTTAAAACATGATTTTGTCTTTCCACTTTGTGAACTGCTTGGGAAAATGCTTTCCAAATGTAAAGGGAATACATAGCGAACTAAAGGAAGTGAATGATTCCACACATTCAATATTTTTATATGCCACTTTAATCCTGGAACAAATGACAAAAGGGAATTAACTCCCTTTCTCGTCTGTGCCTACTGCTAACATTCATCTGTGCTCTGGTTTTCTAAAGTGCTGCAGCATCCACAAGATTGACCTGTCTTCTTGCCACGTCTCCCCATTTCAGCAGACTCCCCCTGCCACCTCCAGGGCTTTTTTTCTGGGGGAATGTGCCGGAACAGAGTTCTGGAACCTCTTTGACAAAATTATTTTAAAGATGTTTTAAAAGTTCATGAGTTTTCAGTATACAGAATGAAAACTTCGCTTCCCTCTTGAGAGTTCTGGCACCCCCCCTTTAAAAAAAAAAAAGCACCGTGGCCCACCTCTATGATCAGCATTCCTGAAATCTCTGAGCTGCCATTCTCATGGACTACTAGCCACTTAAGAAATTATTTTTAAACAATTAAAAATTCCTACATTAAAAAAATGCATCACATAAGAGTTATCTTCTTAAGAAACCCACCCTTTTAGCAGTCAGTAAGTATTTAAATTTAGTTCTCCTTAAGGCTGTTGTTCAGTCCCACAGTCGAATCCAGCTCTTCGGGACCCCGTGGACCAGATCACGCCAGGCCTTCCTGTCTTCCGCCGTCCTCTGAAGTTGGCTCAATTTCATGTTCGTTGCAACTATGACACTGTCTAACCATCTCATCCTTTGCCGTCCCCATCTTCTTTGACCTTCAATCTTTCCCAGCATCAGGGTCTTCTCCAGTGAGTGCTCCCTTCTCATTTGGTGGCCAAAGTATTTGAGCTTCAGCTTCAGTATCTGGCCTTCCAGAGAATAGTCAGGGTTGATTTCTTTTAGGATTGACTGATTTCATCTACTTGCAGTCCAAGGGACTCTCAAGAGTCTTCTCCAACACCATAATTCAAAAAGTATCTTTTCTTCAGCGCTTGGCCTTCCTTATGGTCCAACTCTCGCAGTCATACATTACTACTGGGAATACCATCGCTTTGACCATATGGACTTTAGTTGGCAGGGTGATGTCTCTACTTTTTTATTATGCTGTCTAGGTTTGCCATAGCTTTCTTCCCAAGGAGCAGGCGTCTTTAAATTTCATAGAAGCCAAAATGAAAGGTCACAGGAGGAAGTGGAAATCCAAAAACAACATCCAGGACAAAAATAACAAAGAGTCAATAAAGACACGTTGCAAAATTTTTACTGTAGTAATTCTGTAGAAAATTCTCTTCTATTATCGTTCACACACTAACGAATGCTGCACAATGTAAACAATTTGTTTCACAATATTTGCTTTATCTGAGCATGTAGCAATCACAATTCTTATCAATTACTACTTATCAACTCTTGAAGGAAACATTCCATGTTGACTCTCTAATAACAGAACCCAAGGTCTCCACAATGTTTTTAACTGCTCAGAAGTTAAAAAGAAAAATATCCTGTCAGTACTGAAGGTCCAAGGAAATACAAGGGTATGCTATTTGTGAGAAGTGGTTCAAGCATAAAAGGAAATGGAGATACTGCTAAAATGGTGATCAACTGATCAACTGTGTTTGAGTGCTGTGGCTGAAACTAACACAACAGTGGTGTGTCTGGGCACCACAAGTAGAGTATACAAATAAGGAAAGTGGAAACGGACACACACAAAAATGAACATTCACATATTTACTGGGGGCCCCCATGTGTCTCTACCTCCATGGTAATATTCAAAAAGTCTAAGCAGGACTACTTGAGCCATAATTTCTTGAGAACATACAAAACATGTAGATAGTGGTGCTGGGCCCAGAATTTGATTTCATTTGCATCTTAACTTTCATTTTCATTCAAAGGCAAGTTTCTGGGCTGCTGACATTTCAGAAGCCAAACAGGTGAAGATTTCTAGTAGTTTCCATGGGGAGTTGCTGTGGCTTTGTGCCAGAAAATCTGTTTGGCATTCCAAAGGTCCCAGGTTCAGTCCCAAGCATCTCCAATTAAAAGGATCAGGCTGTAGGCAATATGAAAAACTGCTACCTGAGACAACCTGGCCAAGCTGCTCTCAGTCTTAGACAATACTGACTTTGTTGTTGGTCAGTCGCACAGTCTTTGCAACTCCATGGACCACATCACACCAGGCCCTCCTGTCTTCCACCATCCTCCAGAGTTTGCTTAATGGACTTGATTTAATGGATTTGATTCAGTATGCGGTAGCTTAATGTCCTCATGAGTTAGAGGCAGAGTTTCATTGCTCTGCATACTTTTTAGTTCTTCCCCAAGAACAATAAAACCAGAATAAAACCACACAAGCACAAAAAATATAGAAATTGAGCAAGACTTTATAATACATGTCACTGGGGTTGTAATTCTAGGCACACTTACTAGACAGTAATTCCCACTAAATGCAGTGGGATGTTCTAAATATACATGCTTAGGACTGTACTGAAAGGCTACAATCTTACAGGCATTTCCCCGTGAGTAAAGGCCCACTGAATAAAACAGGTCTTAATCCCAAGCAGACCTGCTTTGGGTTGATCCCTAAATTCAGCTTTTCTTGGCACAGAATGTGGATTTCCAGAATACAAAATTTATTTTTAACACCAAAAGAGTCAGCCCAGCCCTGACTATAAACACCTTGGTATTAGCAGCTTCATACCTCAAAGCCTCCGAAGTCATCGTCATCCATTTTCCAGTAAATACCTAAAGAACAACATAAAATATTAATTAACAAAACAGACTAAAGCAAATTGAATTCTGCTAATTGACAACCATACATACAATACTCTCAAGTTAGAGTTACCAGATGTCCTCTTTTTAGAGGATGTGTCCCCCTTTTTTCGTGCCCATCCTCTTTTGGGCTCTTTTTTAAAAACTGAGGAAAACGTCCTCTTTTGGGGTTGGAAGGTTAGGAGTATTCCTAGTTAGTAGCAATTATCACAGCTTAAATAGTAGGGGTATTTATAATGAGATTTGTCATAGTGATCACTTCTTTGAAGTAGTCGGGAAATATTTCCCTTTTTTTGCTTTACAAAATATGGTAACCTTATTTCAGTAGATTCTGCAATGACAGCCACCAGTAAACACCAAGAGCAAAAGCCTTCCCTGTAACATCACTACCACTGCCACCTGTCAGTTTTGGAGCTATGTCCCCATGGTACAACCCCACAGTGCTCAGAGTGACTGGGTGAGAGAGAAAAGGTGTGCTTCAGGTAAAACCCCAACAAAGGTGAACTCCCTTCTTCTGGAGATTTACCAATGCCATGCTAAGAATGTATAGAAAGTTTTATTTTAAAAAAAATTCAGCAAGTTTTACATGTCTGTGTTAAACTAACTGTTTTGCAACCGATGTTCTACTGTTTGTATCTGTACTTAAGATAGGGTTCTCAAACTTTGTAACCCACAATCAACACAGGGAAGATTAAAACCCACAACTTATAATACACTACTTCAGGGTGGGGGGTAAAAAAGGCATGTTTTCATATCTATATTGACCTTATGCGCTGAAGTTTGAAGGCCATGAATGGAAATATTTTAACATTCTCTATTGCTGTTCCAAATTGGCACAGCTGCTTATTTCAATAATGCTTTCCTGCTTTTCGCATTGCCTCCTCACTTTTCTAGTAGCTTCAGCACAAACTCCAGCTTTACACATGACTGCGGTGACTACCTGGAAACGTATCTGCCCTCACAGAAGTTCTGCCCTAACTTTCTTTAAAAGGGTTCATTTACAGTTTGAAAGTCAATTGGTATGTTTATGACTTCTGTGGGTTTTAAAATATATATATAATTTAGCTAAAATAGTTCTGCTTCTTTGGAAAAATTCAAAGTTTGGTACTCTGCTAATGAAGATAAATCCAGCCATGTCTTGACCATGGAAAAGTACATGAGAGAACACACACACAAACACACATACAGTTTCCCTTTTTCCTTGTTCTCTCTGGACAGAGTTAAAACAAATAGAGTTAATTGCAAGGGATCAATCCCAAACCCGTCTACTTGGGATTACCTGGCCAACACAATACCTAACCGACTTCAGATGGTTGTTCAGAGGATGAAATGTGAAGGAGACAGACATAGTTTGTGCTTCCTCACTCAGTCCCTTGGAGAAAAGCCAGGATGGTGATATCGTTCATGCATTCATGTCTTTCATTTATATCCCACCCAATGGGGACCCAAGGCAGCTTATATGGTCCCCCTTTCCTCCATTTTATCCTCCCCATAAAGCTGTAAGGTATGTTAGGCTGAGAGGGCATGGCTGGCCCCAGGTCATTCAGTAAGCATTCATAGCAAAGCAGGGAGTCTCCTAGGTCCTAGTTCAGTACTCTTAACCACTATACTACACTGGCTCAAAAGTAAAGTCATGTTTGCACATGATAAAAATTATCTCTTATACATAATGACTGGGCAATCTTTCCAGGAAAGTTAACCCCAGAAAAGCCAGGTTTTGTGAATTAGGTTCAAAATGAAGGATGTATGCAAAGAAAGAATTACTCGAAAGCTAACCCATTAGTATCTACTGAACAAAAAAAAATTGCATACTCAAAATATTTTGACTTCATTAATTTACACTGACAAATCTTTACAGATACATGGTAAATGCAGTAACTATTAATCACAAGGGGTTGCAAAAGACAATGGGATCAGTTGGTAGTTTCTCAGAAGAATCGATACTATGAATGGCTCTTCTGTATGGATTTAAATGTTATATTCTGCTGTATAATACACATTTTTTTATTTTTACACCAAAAATTGATAACCCTCCATTTTTGTTTAGGTAATATGAATGAATGAATGAATGAATTTTATTGTTACGGCACCCAGCCAGCAAAATTTAGGTAATATATAACATTCATAAGCCACACATTAGTTCTAAAGCCCCCCAAATTAGCCCATTTTATTCAACTTGTGGAGAGCACAAGACGTTTTCTTAAATCTTAACACAAGACAGAACTCTGTCTAATTTGTAGCACAGAAACTAAAGCTGAGCAACCACTCAAACCTACCTAGTGTACAAAGAGAATATGGGATTTTTATTTGTGAACTTTAATTGGTTTTAAAACATTGACAGAAGCAAGAATGGAGTGGAACTCACATCACACAAAGCCTACACTATCGCAGCCTGCTAGGCCACAGGTATCACCAGGAACAATTCAAACCTTTCAAACACAGCTATACTAAGCCCCAAATTCTAGCAAATAAACTGCTCGGCATGCCTCTTTAGTATCCTATGCTCTTTTCAGGGGGCTCTTACTTCAGCTGGGACTTGGAGCTCAGGAGTAGCCCCGGTGAGGAGAGAAGCACTTAGGAAAAGGGGCTACATACATAGAGCTATAGCATGGGAAGGCTCATGACCAATGTTCCCTCTAAGCTGTGGAGTCTTGTGAGCAAAAATTCTACTTTGTGAGCTACTGGCATTAAAGTTGTGAGCGAACGATTTGGCTACTGCATAAATTAGTTTGCTCTGGAGCCATCCTCCCTGAGCTGAGACAAAAATGTGTGAGCCGGAAGCTAAAAAACTGTGAGCTAGCTCACACTAACTCAGCTTAGAGGGAACAGTGCTCATGACCCCTCAGCTTCAGTAGTTCCAGAACACGCTGAAACACCTCAACTCAGTTTTGCAATTTAATCTCTGCCTCCAATGAAAAGGAAAAAAGGGGTCCCTTCTGACCTCCTCAAAAGGTTCTGCTGGGGATCTTTTGGAATAGGACCTGCACAGACAAAAACAATGCAGGAGAAGGGGAATTGGGTGAGATTAAGTAAAAAAGCTCTCTGGATCCCACCTCAAGTATTTTAAAGATATAATAAGTAAAGGTCAAAAGGAAACTTATCAGGGGGTTTTAAACAGTGAGGTTAAATTAGTAACCAAGACTCCAATCCCTCAAGATCATATTGGAATTGGGGAGATCCGGTTCCGGTCCCGACGAGAGGCTGCTCTGTACGTTCAACTCATTCCTGCACTTTCAAAAATACTTTTTACAAGTAAAGTTATCTCCCAAAGAGAGCGGCTTTAGTAAGGAGCTCGCTCCCAGTTCTGGGGAGGGTGGCGACCCCCCCCAGTTAATTCTGGGCTCGCTTCAGAAGCAAGAAAGAGCAAGGAAGCAAGAGAGGCGAGAGACACAGCCTGCTCCTGCACTAGCCGAGACCACAAGAGCCTACGGAGTCTAATGGAAATATCTACCCAAAACACAAACCGAAGCTAAGTATCTACTTAAAATTTTGTTCATTTCAAAGGCATTATAAATAAATCAGAGCAGAGATGATAGAACTTGTTTTAAAAAAAGAGAAGCGCAAGAGTGTAAAAGTGGCAAAGGAACGTAACAGCAGCTAAGAAAAGAGAGCACAGAGAGACCCGTAATAAATATAAATGTGCAAAAACATATTTGGGAAGTAAGTGCTACAAAGCCTTGGTCTTTTTTCTTCGGTAGCTGGTGACCCTGGCCCTTTAAAGAATAGCAAATGCAGAGTGAGGGTGACGAGGCATTCTTTCGGAGCAGAAAAGCAGGGGCGTGGGGAAGGAGAGGTGATGTAGTAAGGGATACGCCTACAGGAGATAAGGAACGACTGAGTGACGTAGTAAAGAGGCGGCAGTGAGGAAAGACACAACAGACGAGAGAGGGGGAGGAACGCGGAGCGATACATTAAGGAGCCAGTGAGCCATCCATAATAGAAGGAGCTTGATAGTAAAGAAGAGTTAAAGAGACATAACACAATTGTAACAGAAAAATGGTAGAGACATTGTTTACTGAACCCTGACCATAAGGTGGGGGGAAATATTGTAATAATAGGACTTCATAAGGGAGACAATATAGAAAAAGATAAAAATCAAATTACACCATAAAATAAATAAGTAAGTAACAGAAACAATGGCATCAGGAGCAAGTAACAGTAGGAAAGGATCCATACCTTCACCAGGACATTCGGGAATTACCAGCCAACTAAAAGCAAACATCTCACAACAGTCTATGAAAGAACTGAAAACAATTATTCAGGAAAGTATAATTCAAACCTTCCAATAAACAGTGGAACTAACACTTCCAGATTTAATTAAGAGTTAGCTCCCATACATACAAGGATGGAAGAAATATCAAATCAAATTAAAACAGAAACAGAGGAGATTAAGAAACAAATGTCATACAATAAAAAAGAAATAATTAAAATTGTCAAAACATCAAGTAAGCTGGAAGAAAAAACGCAAGATCTAGGTTTAGAAATGCAAGAATTAAAAGCCAAAAGTGACAAACTGGAGGAAACCATCATAAACTTTGAAATGGAAAGAGCAGGGTTTATAATCAGATGCCCAAATATACCAGAAGAAATAGATAAGAATCTAAAAGAAGAAATCGCTAAAAAATTTCAGAACAATTGAACATAGGTACTAAAGAAGAAATTTTAGAGGATATGGAATCTGCATATAGGAAAAATTCAGCATATGCCAAAAGGAAAAAGCTTCCTAGGGAAGTACACATCAAATTTTATAAGAAAGAAACTAGAAATAAAATATTGAAAGCAGCAAATGAGAACAAAGTGATTATAGAAGAAAAAGAGATAAGGATCTTAAAAGATGTTCCCTGGAGAGTCGGGGGAAAAGAATAAATTACAATATCTTAACAAATCTTTTAAAAGAAAATGGAATCATGTTCAGATGGCTTATTCCAGAAGGAGTACTAATCTCCTACAAAGGTAAAAGACAAAGAATAAAT